TGCCGCGGACGCACTGTTCGACATTGCACCGCGCGCGAGAGACGAAGTGGGGCTCTGCCCGTGTTTATTGTCAGAACCAGCGAGATTTGGTGACTTCAGTGTCGTTGACACAGGGCTCATTGAGCACGGAAGTCGTTTTGTTCCAACGAACCAAGTTACAGTGTCTAGCGGACACGCGAGCCTCTTTGAGGCAATAATCGATTGGAACTGTAAATGCTCTCAATCTTGATGGGGGAGAGTGTAACGGGGTTTCACGTACCCTGGTAACAGGGGGGGGGTGTCACACGAGATGGGCACGGTATGACTGCACCCAAACAAGAATACGGTATGTGGCTAGGTAGCCAGTAATTATGCATGTATTTAGATTTTACAATGCATATTTAGGAAAAATCTATACATTAAAAATTAGGTGGCTTTGCCGCAGATCAAAATAAATAAAAATCACTCTTGGAGGTAGCGGATTGCGATCCGCTACACTCGAAATTGGTTATTGCAAAGAACGAAAGGTCGGTGACCTAAGTTACGTTTCCTCAAGCGCAAAGCTACAGCAGCCCAGCTGCAATCATGATGAGTTATCTAGATTAGTACTGCGGGTGATGGGACATTGGTCATTGGACACGACGCAATTAATAATTAAGCAAATGTATTAAGTGCTGAACTTAACTAAATTTACATGTCATATTTGAAAAATAGAGCAATGAGAGTCTCTTGAGAGGCTCTCAAATTTGAATCCATTGTATGTAAGTAAATTAATACCTGTTCGTCGACTTACAGCATTCAGTGTGCGCGGTGCACGGCAATCCGTTGTAGTTACTTTATCTTCCTCAGTTTATAATTATCGCTGGTTCAGCTTTATATAACTTTTTTTACATCAGCAACGCCAAACATTTGTCCGGCCGGACCAGAGATACGTTGGTAGGTTTATGATATTATCTTTGTTTTTTGTTATATCAAACAATTAATTTGTTTGAATGCCGATGAAAGCCATGACGAAATAATTTTTGAAAGCGGTTGAAATGTTCTTCGAGCATGTAAAAATCATGCAAGTTTGAGTAACATTTCGACCTTTTTGTCACTCTTCGCAACAAGTTGTACTACTATCACGACATCGCGTGTGGGTGTGACGATTGCGGAAATATCGGCAACGCTTAGGGACAAAACAGTACACACATAAGTGAAGCATCAAATCTTGCTGTGATCCTACGAGCCTCCACAGACTTAGATTATCGTCATCGTAGTGCGGCGTTCCTTCCAAAGCTAAAAAAGACATTCTCGTTGCGCATGACTGTCTTGCCGGTATACAGATGTAAGGTATATTCTAAATATCTGGGAAGGTCTTTTTTGCCGTCAATTTTGAAGCAGATGACATTAATTAATTTACGATTGAAATTTTAGCGTACATGTCTCGGCATCCCCAAGAATTGTTGTATCACACTTTCGAATATGAGATTCGAGTCTTTGTATAGGAGGTATATACGCGAAATCGAAGCTTGCAACGTTTGAAATGTGTTATTAAGCGACCGAAAGATAGGTATGCTATTGTGAGCTCGATTAACGAAGACAATAGCGTCATAGTATTATTGATGATCATAAAGGGAAGACAAGCACAGTACGATTAATTGAACTGCAATCGATGAAGTCGTCAATGCAATTAACCTTGGAATCATGAAAAATATAATCATATTCATCAAACACATCAAATAACTCTCTTGATGTTATTAAAGTGCTAGGATATGGCTATACGATAAAGCTTTGAAGTTCGATACTTACATACATTGCTGCGAACTGCAAGAACGTTACAAATTAACCTTCCAATTATGACACCTCGAGTGCGACAAATCCGCGATCATTAGCTCAATATCATTTCTAGATAATCTGATCAGGAAAAAAGGCGTAGCACTTGAATGTACTATTTTATTGCATTTCAAGAAAATTCATATTAAATTTTCTCTTAAGCGTATTTTTGCGTGCATTTTTATGTCTCACTCTGACTTCCTTATCTAGATGTAAACTAATTAGAGAGGGATGTAAAGCACTAGAGAAATTCGTGAAACAGTTGACCCAAAAACCGATTACAACATCAATTCGGGCAAAGTGCAACGAGCCGCTGTCTTCAAGATGGCCGATGCGAAGATCTTTCGCACTGCAAGCCTCCCTGAAAAAGCTCGATTGATTTTTAATGCTCAGTTACATCAACAGCTTAAAAATATCGCTAAAAATCGCGAAATATCCGTTGTACCGGGAGCTCTTACAATCTCTAGCAATGGGAGTATACGCCCCACGCAGCCTATGGCTCTTAACGGTGGTGGTCGCTCGACGGAATTAAATGGATGGAATTTGGACAAGAAAATGATGGCTTTAGCCGAAAATCTGGATCTACTACGTCGCCCTTTCTTTCATTACCTCGACTTTGGCACGGCCGCGGCAGCCGACGCATCAAACGGGGGCACCATCTCTGGAGTTTCGGGGGATCGCAAACTCTCTTATCACTCGTATTTTAACAAAATGCTTCCGCTGCACGTTGGCCAAACTGTGCTGCTCGATTTGTGGTACGAAATGGCGGACTAAATGCCATATCGCAGCATAACTAACGACGTCTTTTCAATGGTAGGGACTACTTAATGGACATGGTAGATCACGTGCCCGTGCGTAATCGCTGTCGAGCATTGTATTTGCAGGCAGCAGTGTATATTTGTCGCCGTGTGGAGTTCATCGAGGGGTATCCGCTAGACGGGCGGCAAGTACACCTGGATTCCCTTGTGTCGAAGCGGTACATCCGTCTGTTGGAACGTAGCGTTCAATATTGCTCAATTAAAATTCGCAAATCACGACTCATGGCCGAGGAACATCGCTTTTTTGTGGCACATATTTATACTGCAGTGTATTTCCGATTTCCGTTTGCCACTTCAAAACTCCTGGAAGCTGTGCTCCGATGCACGGAAAGATTAGAAGGGACAGATTCACCAAGCAATGGAGTACGTATAGAAGCATGTGATAAAATGAATGGGGTGAAGACTTATGCAGGAGCTTTAAAAAGTAAACGACAGCGGGCAGCTCGCGTAGGCATTGCGAGCAACTTGCGGAGCCCTCGACACTGTCATCGACATTGGAACGATTTATCTGGTAGCGTACTTGATGGGATAAATTCCGTTGTGTAACTGCCACGCTGATTATCTTTGATACATGTAGGGTCTAAGTGTCGACCAGACCGCATCAGTGGCGTCGACTTGCAGCTTGAAATTTTTACGTCGTTTTCTCATTACAAGTCAAACCGTAATACAGATAGATTGGTGGTGCCCATGAAGGGTAAGAGTATACCCGGCATACCACAGGATATGCTAAGGAAGGGTTCTGGCAACAGATCTATCGCTGCCTCACTCGAAGCAATTTTTCAGGAGGGCATGTACCGTTTTAGTGACGAACAAGAAGTGGCCTTTATCTATCAGCTTCCGCTTCTTTATATTGGTCACAAGCTACAGAACGACGCATTCGTGACGCTGACTGTAACGACCCAAGACAAGATCGAGGCCGGGTTGGACCTTTTTATCGAGCGGGTAAGCTCGCCAGGCAGAGATGATCTCATGGCAGTCACGTTTTTGGCCGCTGTGCTGAATGATGTAAGCAGTTGGTGTAGTCATCGACACGCCGATGGTCGAATTTTGTGGCATTGCGTGCCCGGGTATTTTGCATTTGTGCGCTTGTATCTGGCAGTTTTTCAACGGATGTGTCAACGGCGTGCACGGTCAAGTAGTGGAGCGTCGTCCTTGCCCACAGTGGGTCGTATCCTTTCTATTTTTGAAGGCAAGACGAGTGATCCGTGGGAAGATTATTGGAACGATCGGGAGATAGCAGCCGTGCTGGATGCGGGAACCGAGGTGCTTAAGAACGAAGCGTTAATTAATGTGTTAATGCAGGTCATCCTTGAAAGCACGAACCTTTACGACCCAGCAAGTGTGAATTACTCAATCGACATATTGCAGCGTGTGCTTGTCGTTGCCTCGATAGCCGCAGTGCCGGCTGTAGCAGAAGCAAAATTAGTTTCTGAAAAATTTGGGGGACGCATTCGCCACTGTTTAGGGATGGCTTTTGATGGCGATTACTTTCTAAGTAGCATGCGGAGCGCCTTGAAGTCGTCCCACGTACAAACACTACTGAAAATTCTCACGTGTATATACAACTGCATTGGTACGGATGATTCTATTTGATCTGACACTTCGCGACCGATCTGAATATAATGCAATTTCTGACTTACCAGACTTATTGCCAACTGCTGCTCGCAAACGGCTTGTTGCCGAACTAATATTGCGCGAAAATTTCTTTCGCTTCTTTTTGCACTGGAACGAAGAGGTAATGTTATTTTTTTGACTTGTGTACACAAAGCGTCTTTCCTTACGAGTCAACTGCAAATGGTATGCTTTGTTGTAGATTCGGAAGATCTTTTCATACATGATCGTTTTCAAAACATCGGCTTCCAATCGACTAGATCTACCCAGTGCTTCGGACCGAATTCTACTTGCCCAGACTCCATTCTTCGAGGGTGGCTTTCAAGCAAGGTCCAACGGATCAAATGTATCCGCCGCGTCACCAGCACTGAGCTACCTGAGTCACCTGAGCGAGTTGGCACAAGTGCTGTTACGTCCGACTGCAGACAGTGATATAGACCCGGCAAAGAAGGCGGCTTTAGGCAAGAAGGCTCTTCGACGTCTAACGACTTGGGATGCTAGTGCAAGACTAAAGCGCCCCCGCAGCAGCGGCGACGCAGTGTTTCGAGACAGTCTCGTGGATGAGGAGCTATCAGTTGATCTATCAATCGCGAGCAAATTGGACGCAAATTTCAAAATGATTGCCGAGCAGCTCAATCCCGCTAATCAGGGGCATGAAGATCCCGCAACTGAAGACAATGCATTCGCAAAACACTATTTTTCTCAGGAATTGGAAGCGTACGCTGAGCGCGCACTTTCACAGTACGTCTTGGTATTATGGGAGTACTACGAAGCTGCATTTAATAATCCAGCTGCTATGCCAGTCGCACCATCCCTCGAGTTCACGATTTCCGTGCCATTCTATTCCGACTAGATCGACAAGTATATTACTGTTAATGTAATTTGTAGACCAACACTTACTGAAGAGCAAGTGCGCGATGTCTTACTAGACTTGAGCGTACAGACTTAGCTGGTGAAACATTTCCCGTCTGCTAAACACTGTAGTTGTAGCTCCCGCTAATATATAGAAGCAGACAAATTTTCACGAATTCATGCAAGTTGCGTAGAAAGCGTCAAACGTGCAATATTCTTACCATGCAATGGCTCGGTCAAAAACATTCGCAAATCCCCTGCGCGCACACGCCTCCAGTCCCGTTTCCGACGCGCAAAAAGATTATCATGCTCTTTTTTGTCTGCTGTGCGGCCTGTTATGATAGAAATTAGACGAAATCGATTGAAACTTGCGATCAATGGTAAAAAACTCACGTGGATGGTCTTGTTTTCGTTTGTGCGATCGGCAAGAGTGAGTCTGATACAATCAGTGTCATACGATAAGTCTCACGAAACACATTAATGCAATGCATACCACACGAACCGAGGCCTGCGTGAGCAAAAGCCGTTGATTCTCATCACGGTCCATTGTGTGTTGCACATATGCTCGCAGCCACCACTAAATCAATCATAGCCAAGCGTAACAACATTGTTAAAACCTGACCATAATGACAGTGCTTTCATGCTCTACCCTGGCGTCCATTGAGCGCAACATGTGTTTTTTTGTGCGCACGTAATCCTCGAGAAACGCTTCGTCGTGTAATTTCTCGCGGCGTCCATTACTGATGCAATCAAGTACAAACTCGCGCAATGGCTGGTAGGCTCCGTTTACCAAATCTGGACATTCATGAAGTTCCATAAACTCAAAGACTTGCGTCTTAAGCACAAGCGGTGCCAGGTCATCAGCTAATCCTCCTTCTACTGTTACACACACAGTGTGCACCCCAGCATTTTTTAGACGAATGTCCTGTACGTAATAGACACCATTGGGGAAAGCTGCATAGACGCGTTCGTTGAAAACCACCTTGTCCTCATTTTGAATGGTTACGCGTAGTGCTGCTACTGCACGAGACTTCACAACTGTTGACTTGCCATTTTGCGTGCAAGCAACATAAAAGCCTAGATAGCTAAGCATAAGAAGACAAGTCAGTAATCAACTTAGTTAATGATACATTGGCGCACTTAAAAGCTAGCGACACACCGAAACAGTGAAAATTGGAGCGGAATGCGCTCCGGTAACATTTCTGCCCATTTATCTGCGATTGGAAAGAGCTGATAGCCGTCAGGCACTGACACACTGCGCGTGATTGTGATCGGCTTGAGATTTTTCAGCGACATGATTGTCGGAAATGATTGATTTTCATAATGGGCAAGTTACGTGTGTAAAACATTATATTCTGCAATATGAGCGGCACAGGAGCGCGACTGTGGAACATTGCCGAGACAACCTATGTTGTTAAAAGGAGGACTGAAACCGGCGAAAAGGTTGTTAATAATTATCGTTTGCTTCAGACAATAGGACAAGGACGTTTTAGCAAGGTAAAGCTATGTGAGCGGCTTGTAAATAGCGGTGTTGCAGACGCTGCCAACGGATGGGCAGATGGTAATAGTGCAGTTGTTTCGCTACCATTGCCAGCTTTTGCACCGCCCAAGGCAAGCTTGTTTGCCATGAAGATTTATTCCAAGAAGATGTTACGTCGGCTCAAAGACTATTGCACAGAGAAGCCGCTTGGAAGAGATACTGACACGGACTTAGATGCAGTACCAATAAAAATGCGGACAGTTACAGCATTGGACCGCGTACGTGATGAAATTCAAATTATGCGCTCGCTATATCATCGCAACATTGTGCTATTATACGAAGTCATTGAAGCCGACAACAGCGACAAGCTTTTTTTGGTGCTCGAGTACATGGCATCCGGTCCTTGTATGGTATATCGAGCAGATAGAAAGGATTTCTACAGTCGTGTTACGGGAAGTGTTTTATCAGAAGATCTTGCACGAAGCTACCTGTCCGACATATTGCTTGGTCTGCAATATTTACATCTACGACGAGTTTGCCACCGCGATATCAAAGTAACAAGAAACAATTAAGACTTACAGCGTCGTTTATCATAATTGCTGACTTTTTGCTTCATTTTTATGCATGTAGCCAGACAATATTTTAGTGAGCGGTTCAGGACGCTGTCACATGTCTGATTTTAATTGCGCTAAAGTATTTTGCGGCGGTCCAACGGGTGGCTTTGCTGGAGATGACGATGACAACGCCGCAGATCAAGTGTTTGTATCCGATACTGTTGGAACGTACCAATTTCTGGCTCCAGAGTGTTGCTCTGGTGATCCATACAATCCTTTTAAGGCGGATATATGGGCTGTGGGTGTCGTTTTCTATATTTTTCTGTCTGGAAGACTACCCTTTGCGTCGGAGAGTACACGGGGACTTTTCGAAGAGATTCTTCACGCTGATATCTTGCTGCCTGAACGATGTGGTCGCGAGCTTCCACTTAGTTGTGAGGGCTCAAATTTGCTGTTTCGTTTGCTTGAGAAATATCCAGCGAATCGAATCACAATCGAAGACGCACTTAGTCATCCATGGTTTGTTCAGATCGAGGAAGACGAACAACCATTGTCATTTTGACGGAAGTTTGTTGTCGATTATGCGATGAAAGTATCGAAACAATTGTTGCTATTTTGCTCCATTTTTCGAATCGCCTCACCTGTTGCACTCATTGTTTGAAGATAGGAAAACTAAACTTTTGACATCAAATGCAAAGTATGGATGGTGGCTGCAGTGAATGGTCATACTGTAGTCTACACTGTCGCCCAAAACAGGTTATGCATATAGCATGCTAAATCAGGCGAAAAATGTCTTCGTAGATACCTCAATTCAGCTTCGATCCCCTCAACAAGCGAAAACCGGATTAGGCTGACGTAAGGAGACAATAGCTTTCAAACTTAAAGGCAAGCTATCGACAACAAACATTACTTTACCCGATAAAGAAGCAAAATACACTCTCATACACAATCTTGATTTGTGTTTAGTAACTAAAAGCAGTCTATAAATTTCGCGTACCAGCTCAATGTGTAAATTGCCATGCTTTCAGTACTGTATTCAATGCATCGTCCGAAAGTCAGACATGTACTTTTCGCTATAGCATTCGTCAAGCAGTTGGTGTGTCAGCTGGAAAACCTCATGAACGCGGACACCATCCAAGCCACCTCCTGCAAATGGATCCTCCATTGTTCTTTCCACGTTAAAAATGCCAATCATTAACAAGCTTGTAGACACACTAAGCAACAAGCAAAATGCAAAGTTCGTCGCTTGATACTCATTTCCACGCGCGATAAAGACGTAGTATGGACCATAAAATAGGGGCAAGGCAAGGATAAAAATCCGAGTGAATGACCGTGTGGCTTGAGGTGTTCGATAGAATTTTATATTCTGCAGTCGTTCAAGTCGGGCTTCAAGCAGCCAGTGGTATTGATTAACTCGTGAGGCTTCATTGGCAGGCATGCCGCAGGCTTTCATAACTTCCACTTGATCGTGCAGCTGACGAATCGTGTTTACAATCTGTAGCTGCAAATGTCTTACAGGATTCACAAACTGTGAGGCATGTTTCCGACCAAGTGAAGTAAGCCGGTGTCGTCCACGCGTAAACGTGGGCATGATCAGTAAAGACATTAAATCATGCAGCATTCCTTTGAGCAAGGTCTTGGTCTTTTGTACATGGTCTTGTGGCAGCTTTTTTCGCCCGTTATCGCCCCAATTCCACAAAGCATTGGCAAGCATGATATTAATTATTAAAGATCTTGACTCAGCAAGCACATCCAATGCTTGTTCACGCCGTGCAAAGGCCTGGGTGATCTGCATGATCATAGGTGACACCACTGCAAACGAAACAATGGTCCACGAGATGTTGGCACCAAAGCTTGGACCCGTGCTACTCTCACCAAGATAGTAATAAGAAGAGGTGGTGACCACCGAAAATAGCATTACAAATAGTCCTTCGAATGTAATGAGGTATATACCAAACACCTTTAAGGCCGCGTAGAGGTCCAACAATGTGTCGCGAAAGCTTTCGCTCGTCCGTCGTAGCGTTTCATTTACCGTCGATTCATCTTCAGAGCCGTTCCGTCCCCTCAAATTGTCAGATGGTATGTATCGATGCGTTGATGCTGCATCCGACTGAGCTTGAGGCATGACACCACCATAAAGGGTATAGTTGCCCTCACTCATTTCTATTTCCAATCTGCTCTAAACGTAACGTCACAGCATAACCCTATTATGGTGTACGTACACATTACCACCGTGTAGACTTTTTGGTATTTGTAGTCTATATGACTTGAATCCCGATCGCTGAACTTTAGAATCCAAAGGTAATGGTCGATGAAGAGCTCGATGGTGCCGCGGTTGGTATTGAAGATTATGTCAGTAACCACAATGGGCGCCTAAGAGTGTATGGGACAATCAAAATGAAGTACGTCGTAAGAGGAAAAACTATGAAAATACTTTTCTTCCACACCAGTAACTCTTGGAATAATGATAATCAGGCCTGAGGATTTTGTGGTGCGCGAGATAAGTGCGGCAGGCGAAGTGGTGGGATTTAGCGACAAGGCCGACGAATTACCAACAGAGAGTGAGCTACATGCAGTCCTATGTAAGGTTGAGTCGATGCAGAAAGAGAAGAAAAAGAGACTGAGATTCGAGGAGCCTGCAGACGGTTGGCGGGCTGCATTGAAACGTTTAATTGGACTGCAAAGCCTGGAAAAAGTTGAGCGTGTGGCTCAAAATCAGGAAAATGAGTGTCTTCTACCGTCTCCCAAAGACTTTCGAGACCGCGTATATCTTCAAAATTGTATCCAGGTGCAACAAGTCGTGCTTCAGTTTGGACTGTGACTGCGTCAACTTAATTGTCCGTAAAATTTTGGTGGTTTTCTTAGAATTGCTTTCCGGGACTAGATTGCCAGATGCAGAAGCCATTTCCATTTGATGACCAACAATGCGAGCAACAAATTTTAGTTGTGGTGGATTCTGTCTACAAGAGGTTTCGAGATGGAGGAATTACGCTACGAAATTGTGATCATCTTCTTTCGTTCCTCCGAAAGGGATCAGAAGATCCTGCGGCAAAGGAAGGTATTCATCATTTCAAACGGCTTTCAGCTCGTGTTGCGACCATGAAATCCTCATATTGCTGACTCTAGGTATTGAGCTTGAACACGAAAATTCGAAGGAAGCTAGAACAGTGTTGCATCGATTGATTGCCAAGAATTCGGCTTCTTTTAAAACGAAGACAGAAATGCGGGATGGTACGCAGCGATTGGTTGTATATTTTTCACCCAAGACCAACAAAAAACGCAAGCGCTCGGAGCCACATGTATATCTTCAATTTGTTTTACAAAAGGTGAGACAGTTGTAGCCATGAGATTATAGATGTACTCTCGATATAACTCTACTTCTTTAAATTTTCTAGTCCAATGAAGAACATTTTGCATGCTTTGAAAAATTAGCTCGCCAACTTCGCCTTCCGCTTACTGCATTTACATATGCAGGAATAAAAGATAAAACGGCAATCACTTTTCAGCATGTTGTGGTGCAAGGCGCAGCCCCTGATCAATTACTAAGCGTAATTAATGATGAAAGTGGATCAACGGGTATGCGCCTTGGAGACTTCAAGTACGTCGAGACCCCGATGTCTTTAGGAGGAGCAAATGGAAACAAATTCTTGATCGTCATTCGCAATCTTTTTTCGAAAGACACAAGCACAAAGGAAATGGTTCGCTTGTCACTTGAGGATGCACTTACAAATGTAAAGCGTCAGGGTTTCATCAACTATTTTGGTTTTCAGCGAGTTGGAATGCCGACGAATAAAGTGCGTTCTCACCACATTGGAGAAAAGTTTTTTGCAGGCCAATGGGAAGATGCCTTGAGGCTTTTAATGACTGTTCAGAAAGGTGATTCCGATATTGTTAGGAGAGCAAAGCTCTATTATCTTGAGTCGGGTGATATTGATAGTGCGCTGAAGCTTCTACCACCTGATCTACTGGTTGAACGGCAATTGCTTAAGGGACTCAAACGCTACGGAGACAACGCATTTGAACAGGCAATACAAAGTATTTCATTTGCACGTCGTGTGATGTACATGCACGCTTACCAAAGCTATGTCTTTAATCGAATGGCGTCAATTCGACTGCGTCGATACGGACCCAAGGTAGTTGAAGGTGATCTGATTCAAGTTAGTCTCCAGAACAATAAAGTTGTCAAGACTGTCACCGCGGCTGAAGCTGACACCCTCAATACAACCCATGAAAATGCAATTTCTTTCGTGCTTCTACCTCTGCCTGGTACCAATGTGGTGTTCCCTTCCAACGCAACCACGGAAGCGTACAACAAGGTATGAATGCACTTCCTGAACATTCGTGATAGTTTGATCTAATGATTATTTTGTTATTAGATGCTGGAGCATGATCGCACAAAAAATGTGCTGTGTAAGTCGGGGCTATTAAAAGGAGCGTACAGGTCACTCATAGCTTACCCACGCGAACTTGAATGGTCTTGGCAAGAAGAACAAGGCAACAGTGCGTGGAACTCGCTATTGTTACATGTGATCATTTACCTTCTGCTAATTTCCATCTGTTTGCAGCGCTTTCACTGCAGCTTTCGTTTTCACTAAACAGCGGATCCTTTGCTACCATGTGCCTACGTGAGATACTTCACACTGATATTTAAACAATTTAAGCGTACACACGTTAGACTGCACATTCAACTCTCGAGTCTAGCCGTAATATTGTATGTTATGGCTTTAGCACGACAGGTAACGCACTCACGTAAAAAGCTTTTAATTCTTTTTGGCCTCCATATCCTCCAACGCTTGGCGCACAAGTTTAGCTCCGGTAACCATGAAGAGTGTCTGCCAAATGCCAAGACCCAGACGTGGCACAATGCCCTTAAAAAGGCCACCGTAGCCTTGTTCCTTGATAACAGTACGGAAAACTTGGACCATATTCTGCTTGGGTTCGCCGCGGTCAGCAGCGCTCTGCATCTGTATGCGCGCTACCTCAAAAGGATGATTCCAACAAGCCAGAGCACCGCCCACAATACCGGCGCTTGCCTCTTGAGCCACTGTCAACTTGGCGTCCTTGTCACCGTGGAATAGCACCTTAAATTGGCCACGTACAATCTCAGTAAATCCTTGGCGTGAGGCCCAATTCGTGGCTTGACGGAAAGCAATGGCGGTGCCACCAGGGTAGAAACCTTTAATACCGTGAGCACCGTACACATTAAAGATACGCTGCATGGTGGAGATGGAGCGGTCACCCGTGACGGCACCAGTGACTAGAAAGGTGCAGGGCCCCATGACCACAACCTGGCATACACCGCCACCGGCTCCAGCCAAAAAGCCCGTAGCACTCTTGCCCACGCCAGCAGCAAGCAGCGTATCGGAGATAGCCTCCTTAGAGTAGAGCAAAATAGCTCCTTTTGACGCTGACTCGACCATCTTAGGACCTGTACCGGCCCAGAAGGCCGAAATGCCGCCGCCCTCTCGCATCACGTTACGAAAAGCTTGCATCGTTGTCTCTGAGCGGAAACGACCCATGCGAGTTTTCCAGACCTCGAAGGGCATGCCAAGAGTCGCAGCCTCCAAACACTGCAGCATGCCGCCATTTATTAGATCCCGTAGGCCTACCTTTTTGCCAGACGTGGGCGGAGGAGACATTTCGATTGATTATTAAATCTTTTCGTGGTTAATTAATCTGTGTTTTGAACTTGGTTGTGATCACCATACTTCAATATTACTCCATCCACAGTTAACAGGTTCAGGAAAGAAGTATGCGTCAATATCTAACCACGTGTGACGTCAGCTCGTTCATGGACCTGGTTTTGTCCGATTTGATTTTATTTTGTTGCCCGCCCACAAGAAGGTATTTTGCATAAAAGTTAACGTCATAATTTCTTTAGTACATCGCTCAGATTAGTGAGGACGAAAGTGCCTAGGAAGAAACATGCAGGATAATCAGGGAGCAAAATACCAGAGATGCACGCAAGGTCAATTTACGCCATGCAATAAGACAATTTGCGGATGTTGCCGGGTGTGTAAGCACGACCAAGATCCCACCCACGAAACAAAACAGATAAATCTCGTAGTCTGGAATTTTTGAGCGCAATAGAAAGAGAGGAAATTCGCAAAAAAAATGTGCTTTCGCTGGAAATAGCAATTGACAGTGTGCAATGTCTAGTCTGAGAGGTCAAACTTCGTTCTCTTCTCTTCTTCAGTTGAGCGGTCGAATATCCTCAGGCGTGTACATCGGGTGAACTCAAACCCGTAAAAATTTGATTTCAATAACGACTCAGAGCTTTTTGAGCCGGTGATAATGTTCACTAATTCAAACCAGTCTCATTCAAAAAATTATTTAGCAATGCCCGCATTGATTAGATTGTGAGTCTGAAAGCATGCTCTGCATCTATTCGCACAAGGATGAAATTGTTAAGCACTTTAAAATGGAGTGAATGATAGGGGCACACAGCTCAAGACTGTCAGATCAGTGTATAGCCATAACAAAGACTCCGTAGCATTTCCTTCAGTTTCTTGGTTCGCAAAAGATTGCAAGAAGAAAATCAAAAGAGATATAGTTCAAAGAGTAGACGATTTTCAACTTTAAGGGCTTCACTGGTCAGAACGGTGGACATCGCACATTATTGCAGACGCAGCAGTACCGTTACAATGCAAAAGGAAATAGATTATCATTATATGAGATTGAGAAGTTGACTGCCTAACAGCTCCTTACAGTCGCTTGTCGCAACTAAGCCGCTCTGGTGTGTCTCCTCCACCAAATCATGCAGAGGACACCATAATCGATTGTCGATCTGATCCGCCTTAACAGACTTAATATCTGATGGGCAGGTAGCAGCTTTTATTATCCATTTCCTCAGAATTATATTATTTATTACATGCTGGATCCACGACACGCAGTCAGTGTTGTGCGAAGCTCGGAGGCCCGAATTTTATTTAAAAGATAACGATAGGATTCTGCAATGAATAGGTTCACCCCAAATCATGTAGAATTTCGTATACTTAAGCTAAGTTTATATAATTAATTGAAAATAAAATCACAAAGTTGTCTTGCGAGCAAGCTACTTATTTAGCTAATTGAAAGAATTGCGGCTCACGTGTAAAAATGCATCCTCTGTGTGTTCGAATCATGGATTTATTGAGTCGAAATTACTCTGTACAATTTGCAAGGCCATATCGCTGCATTTGATAAAATTTACCGTCAATTCGACGACCGAAGGGTAAGGTTGGAACACAATATTTTGACAAGTAATCGCCGGGACAATTAAACACGCTTATTAAGCTTATGGCTGCCATTGGTAAGATGACTGGCAAACTAAGGGTCAGACGCGGTGGGGATGTTCACCATGATAACGTGACTTCCAAGATCGTCTTGTTAAGCGTACAACAGTATTTTCACCGTGAGGCTGAACTTGCTGCGTGACTTGTCTTTGTAGGACAGGTAAGAAAAAAATCTTCTCAGGTCCAAAAAGTTGGGAAGACCATGACGAAGACCATGATCCAGATGATTCAACAAAACTAGTCACAGCATTTGGACACCGCGCGAAATTGGACTCTTACATTAGGTACCTCTAAAGAATCGTTATCCCCGATAAAGAAGAGCTAGTGGTCGATGTCGCGGATGTTTAGCACCGCCTATCAAAAATCTCACCCTGGGTGATCACTTTTTCTGAGGTAAAAAAATGGAGGGTCGGGTCCCAGCAAAGTCTCCTAATGGAAAAAGGGGATCTTTGTTACGTCATGGGGGTTCCTTGAATTCAACGAAACGTTGATGAACATATGCAACTGTCCGCGTCACAAAAATAAGTGGCTGCATGTCTACTCATATAAATAATCGCATATCTCGTAATTGCACGACGCTCTAGACTCTAATCAGACAGCTGGTATCGTTAAAGCCATATCACATTGACGTCGCATTGACATAAAAATGTTTTTTTTATCCCGTACTGGATTCAAGATACCATCGTATTCCATGGATGGTGTGGCTAGAGCGCCATGAGCCATAGCCATTTAACGACTAGAGGGCAAAACTGCTTGATGAACTGCACTTTCCGCTCTATTCAGCTTTGGCGAATCATGAGCAAAACTCAGCTAAAAGGCAGAAGCGCTTCTGATGCGGACATGAAGCTGCGATCGCAAAGGTGCTAGGAACCGATTGACAAAATTGATGAAATGATTGCCTATAGCAAAGATCGGAAGGTAGACGCGGCAGCGAGCAGCGGCCTCGGAATAAGACAGAAACTAGCTGTTGTTTTTTTGCTGGATATCGAGTTAGATTTGCAAGAGCACTAGTATGTCTCGATTTTTAGCGTGTACCTGTGATGTGACGTTCAATCACAGCGGTAACCTGATGTCTTCTCTTACCGACCGGATACAGATGAGTATGTGCGACTTTATGCCGCGATGTTTTATGTCCGATAAGTGGGAAGCAAGTACAAGGGCAGACGCTGAAGTTACATTTTTAAGTTTAATTCTCTTATCACGATGTAAAACTACCGGATTCGCACTGCTTGTGTAGCGGTGAAGCCGGTATATCTAAGAAAAAATACGCAATGGATCCATGAATAAATTATTCGGGAAGTCCCAGGATTGTAAGACTCCCCTCATTTTTCCTAGAAGAATCTCGCATCGATCATGAGAAAGTATTCTAGGGAATGTTATCAAAGAGTTGTTAGATAGTGAAGTCACCAAAACGGTTTTGTTGTTACTGAGGGAGGATGGACGAGTTCGTAATTCTCGACACTTAGTGCGAGAACGAGGCGGCTATTCATAAGGATCCTATAGCTCCAATTTTTCCTGTGTCGAAGAGAATTCAAGACTTGATGGAAGTCTACCAAAACCTCATGCTGCCCCAGATCGATAAAAGCGTCATGAGATTGTTCCGGCTCTCAAAAGTTCAAAAACAAGAGTGTGTGACGTCATATACATTTTCCATACTGCGAAATACGAAGCTGGGTTTTTGAAAATGTTTTCTCTCCCACTTGGTTCAAACTTGCTTCGTTCGAAAGGGTATAGGCAGATGACGAGTCGAGCAACTTAGTATTAGCTACAATGCAGGCACATCCCATCGCAAACGCCAGTTTATAAAGGTGATGTGCTTCAGAATCACATGGTCGGTTGCTCGTTGTTTCTTTTAGTGTCTCTGCACAATGTAACGAGGGTACGCACCAGAAACGTAGTATTGATCACGTCCTAACTTTACGAGGAACCCAACCTACTGCCATAACTCATAATGTGTATGTGAGTCATCTGCTAGAGAGTTGGTCTTTGCCGGCTCTGATTGGCAAATCCACTCCAACTAAGGAATGGTTGGAGGGTTAGTGAGCTTACTAGAACTGCAATCAATATTTGGGAGTTGATGCCATAGTGTTGAAACCCATATGAGAGTTTCGAGGTCCCACTTTTGGAAGGAATCGTCGCGTCGCTGCCGCTTTTGACCTGGAGCATACTCGGCCCTCATCTTTTTCTAGCCAAAGGCAGGATTGCCTAGCGTAGCAAATGAACTTTTACATTGTTCAAGGTCGAGACTTGGCCAATAGCTATAACAGGTGTTACATGTATATGATCGAGAGAGCAAGAATCAAGCAAGTCAATTGTCTCCTCCTCGACATCCGCGTTGTGCTTTAATTATGCAAATCAAGCATCAAGATATGCTTCACCTCTATATGTATGCGTCGCTGAAAATGGCTTGTCAACCTGCTAGTGCCGTAGTCTTATCGCTCTGTGCGCGAACTGAGTGTGATACTCTTCAGAGCCTTCGCCGCCAGTCCACCTATGTACAGTCCTCATGAAGAGTACGATTTCTTACATCGCTGCTGCATCACGCGCAGACGGTTCTCCAAAGAGTGGTGATCTGGGGGTTTCGACTCTCGCGGAGCGACATCCGAGCGCTCGTTTCGCCTACTCTTTTAGCAAAGGAGTCACACACGTAGGCTCCAAAGGCTCCGTCACAGCGCGATAATTATTTTTATTTGAATTTATAATAATGGCTATATTGAGTCTGTTGTCCAAAACTCAAATATGTAAGACTACTTACCGAATGTGAAAGATAATAAAGAGGCCCCGTCGGACACGAAACTGCTTTATCGCAAAATGTTTTTCGGCAAAATTGAAACAAGTATGTTTGTATTGGTATACTTATAGAAACGGGACTCAAATTTAGTATGTGTCCGTCTTGAGATAGAAACTAGAGAGAAACTAATAACTCCACTTGTTCTTTGTTGTGCTTATGAGTGAAGCGTTCAAGCCTCTTTTGGCGCAGTCCATTGCGTTAAATCTTACTCTGTGCAGGATGGACGGCTAATCATTGAGCGCAAAGTGTCTAGCCTGCAGAGTTTGCATCAAAATCCAAGTGTCGGACCGAACAGAAATTCTCGCACAAATTCACAAGAAGGTCCAGAATGTTGTTGATACTTTTACCTATTGTTTTCGCTAGACGCACGGACACCATGTATAGTCGGCATTATCAATGCTTCTGCACACTGTCTAGCGTTTTCAGCAGCCGCGCGCCGTAAATAACTGCACAACATCCCTAAAACATCAATTTATGTTACGGCTTTTTAAAAACATGGAACTTTGCTGGCGGCAAAAATCATCCCTGCAAGTCCTTCACACACTCGTAAGCGAGGGTCACTGCGTTGAGATTTGTGTCTCATTGTCCTCGGCCTCGACAATAAACGACTAGGTAGCGTATTTTTCGAGAGACTTCCCTGTGCCAACTGTGACTTGACGGTTCCTCATGGAGAGTAATTCCTATGATTCTGCGTGGAAGCAGGGCATTTTTTGCATGCTCAACCGAGAGAGATTTTAAGCGCAGGGCGCGAATACTTAATACCATTGTGAAATTACATCTGTGAGTACAATGGCGCGCGCTTCCCAGCTACTAGAAATTTACTTTCTATGCATCTTTGTATTCAGCCATCTCGTGCGTGCTTACAGATCTCCTGTTTTTGCGCTTTGATGGGTCCTTGTGGCTCAGATAGTGTTCCGCGTTTAATGTGACACCCACTGCTTTCCCAAGGCGGTAGAGTGAGCGTGGATGATATCAGTTCTGACTGTACACCCAGTATAAACATCAAATTTTCAGCGTATCGAGAGAAATCTTGCTGCCACCATCACGATGTTAGTTAAAATTTCAGAACAAAGCCCGCCATTTGTCTTCTATTGAAACAGAGGTACACGAATCTTGATTGCATACGGTACGTCGGGCTAGATGGTTTAAGCGCTCGCGATATCCGCTGTTGGAGTACTCCCTTGCTGGGACGCCTCGTCTACAGATGTACCACACGTAAATGCACATTTTCGCGCACTGCCTTCTGCCTTGGTTGCGAAGCGCTGGATCTCTATCATGGTCATGGTCAAACCTATAGAATTTTCAACCCTCATGTGTCCGGCCCTTGCGAGTTTTAAGACTTGCGGTCTCACTCCAAGAGTTTCAACTACGCCCGAAGCGGACACGGGGCATTGTCATACATGCTCGCAGCGTACTTTATAGAAAGTCTCGATGAAGTCTAGAGCTGCGCAATCGAGTCGATTTACTAAGAAAATCCCACCAATCATAAAATTGGATTGTTGCTCGGTATCAAATGTACTTTAGCTACATAGTACTATTCAGACAATCTTTTGTCGTCACAAAATGCTTCGCGTCCGACAGATGAACTCGTGATACGGCTTTAGTATGACTCAGATGTGTTCGCATTGCTTAGTAGTTCTTCATAGCATAACTGATACTCAATCTGAAAAGGGTTCATTGCAGCGAGGATGCAAGGTTGTCTTACAGCCGCTGACAATAGTAGCTGATAGCTTTTCACAAACAATAACTTCATGTGTGATGTTTGCCTTGTCACCTGCGTATTGATTCTACAATATGTCCGTAGCCGAACTATCGCGTACAAGGCGCATGGCGCTGAATCTCTTCAAAAAAATATAATGCCACAAAGTATAGCCAGGTAGAAATCAGCAAGTCGATCATTATCGACCCTGCCTATCAAGTTGAAAAACGGGTCTGATAAGGATGATGTTAGAGGCACGAACTGCGTTGTAAGACCTGATATCAGACCTTTTGAAATGGATCTGCCGATATTCCGTCGTAAGAATACCGACACATAGACTGAAGAATTCGCTCAGAAGTAGATCATATGTATTCTCACAGGAAGTGGCGCCGCTGGATTTTAGAGATCACGATACTGGCGTTGCCAGACAGATTTTCAGGCAACCCAAGAAAGTCCACGTTGTTATCCCGCCAGATCACTGCCGGAATTGACAGCATACTTTTAGACTTTACCCAAAGACACGATTTTCGCGTGCGTACATACGTGCTAAGTTAATTATCTGTTGGATAACCTCTTTGCTCCTGATACGTCAACTGGAGGAGTATAATGTGCCTTGTATAGAACACTGAATTAAAGATGTCATTCATGAGCCGCAACCACATGTCATGTATCAAATGGATCTGTGCTGTGAAATAACAAATTTTGAATAAAAGTTAGAGATCCTAGTTACGCTTGGAAATCTGATGAAAAGTTATAGCTCATAAGAATCCATAAAAAGATATAGAGCTCTCAAAGGCGCAACACAGTTAGTGTCTGACTCGTGCACCATATGTATAACTAGGATCGCGATATCGCGGTGGAACCATTTAAACATTTAACAGTGCATAATCTGGCCGATTAATAAACGCACATTAGCTGATCAGGATTGTATTCGTTTTGAACAGTGAGCTCCGCCAGGAAATACAACAATGTTGCCATGGTCTGCGAGAAGTGTGATGACGATGTCGCTTTGTGAATTTCATGGCATGTTATGGGGTAAGTGCGCACCGAATATTCCCTTCCCTCGGATTCGAGCCGAAGGTCAATGGTTCAAGATGATTTTTATGTCGAAGCACAAATACCAACACTCTAGCCTGGTGAGTTAGATGTTACCTCATTAAGGTGAATCCGTACAAATCTAGTGTCATCGTATGGATTGTGCAAAGATTTAATATCATAGATAGTAATAACGACATATTAATAATCCATAAATGCAGAACTTCATCTTAACTAAATTATTCATCAGAGCAAATCAAGTACGACTTACTTAAGAGATTTACTTACGCACCCGGTGGTTCGCAAAAATCTAATCGATACCCATTCATTTTAATATTAGAGCAACTCATGTACTGCATTCTAAGAAAATTTGCTCGCACCTGGTGAATCGCATAGATCTAACCTCTGTGGTGAAGTCAGTGCTTCCTCTGAGTGATATATACGGCGATGAGCTGCATTTTTCACCAATCCGACACAATGAATAGACTGTAAATACTACGAGTATATGCACTATTTATGATCGGGTCAACAAGACACATCTATCAAAGATTTTGTAATAGTTGGTCCTGACAATATAGCACAGCGGGTAACACTCTACCGACTCTGCTCGATGTGCAAAGTGAAGCTCACCTACTCGTGCAGATTATTGGCCGGCGTGATCATTGAAGTATGAGTTTAGTACTCACTTCAACAAGATTGCCCAGCACTTACGACCTGGCACGCCCTATCTGTCTACTTTCTCAGAACCAGAGACAGGGTCGCACAGCGCAACGCGCTTCCAGCTTGCTAGTGGGATCCAACCTTATTTTGAGTTTGAAATTCGGCCGGTGGCTATGCCAGCAGGCCCATGAGTGTGAGAAGGGCGGTTAACAGCGCGAAATAAATCTGAGGCGAATGTTAGTGTTTTGATCTAAGAACTGTAATTTCGAGTACTTGCACCTTATACTGTTGGCACAATTGTATAATATCGAATGAGTAGAGTATTAGTTTTATACAATCATACAGTATCAAATTAGTTTAGCATTACATAAGTACAGTTGTAACAAATTTACATTGTAATTATGGTTACTCATAAGTACCGGCGTATTAATGTGTATTTATGAAAGTGATAGAATCCCGAGGAGAAGATATTCGTGTGCTAGCGGCTCACATTAGATAACAAAAGATACTTTTATTACCAAACGTTGGAAAACTAATGTATTAATTATATGAGTAAATGTAGCTGATCTGGATATATGTAACCCTGGCGAATCAGATAACTAGTTACGTAAGAGGTTCCAAAATTCATTGCTTATTGGAGCACAGACGAATCCAGTCTCTTAGCGCGATCAGTTAGAGTCGAAATTTTCTTCGTGCAAACTGCACGGCAACCCTTCTGTAGTTAGTTTGATGTAGACATCGCAATTCGTAATTTGCAAAGTCAAGCATCAAGCAAATTTCTGTTCTGATTTCCGTTTCACAGAAATTGGTTTGTGAAATCGCGAGGTTGGATTAATACGTAGCAGTTTTACCCAACGCTTGATTTTGGTGTATGCACCCCTCGGCTTCGTCGCCAGATGATGTATCAAAGGAACAGGGCGCTGATTTAGCCGTAAGCGGTAACTCAAGAAGTGCTGACCTTTGGGTTCAGGAGGTTGTCCAAATGCGCAATTCAACAGAACTACAAACCCATGATTAGAGCTGTGTCGCGGCGCATCAAGCGGAATACGATTAATCTAGTCGATATGTTGGCGTGACAGTTCGATTTGATGTCGTTGAAGCTCCCAGCTCTCGTGCTTACAGACGACCACGAGTGGCTTGCCAAAAACTCGACGCGGTGTCACCGCGAGGGCGACTTAGATCCAGCCAAATTGTGATGAATGAACCTCATGGTGAATTTCACGCCGAGATGTCCGCTTCGACGGTGTGCGTAGCCTACACAAAAGCGAGGCGGAATGCAGAGAGTATCTAAGCCTCGGAGAAGCTTACGTTGAGCGGCACAGTCGTGTTTCGTTCAAGGAGGTTCTTGTGGTTTATCGGACTCGGGAGATCACTTTGACCATTCTCGTCAAATGATTATCTTGAACAGTACCGAACTAGGCCTTCATGACGTCGACAATAAGGCGCGCGCCTTTCTTGATGATTCATCGAGCCATAACTTTACAAGGCAAGAAAGGGAGTTTGTCAGTTAAGAAATGTATGAGAGAAAGTATCGTTAAAAGCTATCTGGAGAACATAGATTTCAAACAGATTATTACACCATTAATTGCTGAATAATGCACAACGCAACAGCTTGAATTCGTATGTTCTATTGTAACAACTTCGATCTTCAACGAAAATAGGGTTCAATCAGTGTTTCTGCGGAAGCATTCTGTAATTTTGTCAAAGTAATACCGTGGATGTCAGAAATTTCTACTAGGTCGGAATGGAGTCGTAAAATCCGCCAATCAAACAGCTCTGATTATTTTTGCCTATCTTGATAATCACAACGTCGCTGATACGCACATTGCAAAGGAAAGCCGCAAACGAAATAACTGACTAGCTACGCTGCCTTTTCTACCTAGTCGCCCCCTCGACTCGCACCGAGAGTTTATTGAACTTTGAGGCGGAGAACTCCTGGGTGTGTGCACTGCGGCATTTACGTAGTACCATTTCTCGCCAAGGACATTGTCCCTTCTGTTGGTCGTATACTTAAGCACTAGCGAGAGAGGCGTCTTGAACTGCGCGTCGACTGCTGGATTGTGAGTAAGGAAACGAATCCTTGCTCTTAAGCTTAGCTGGAGTCAGGAATTTTCAATGTCAAGGTTGCACAGTGCAAAAACACCCTATCACCGCTCTTTATCAGTAAACGGCGATACGCGCCAACATCGAGGTACTCCTGTACTGGAAGAACAAACTTATATGAACGCATTTAGCCCACCTTTTGATGGATCCTATGCGATGGAGACCCCACTTCATCCCGATGGCGATGCAGCTCCGGATGGACGCCGTGTGATGCGTCCACTGCCGCCTGTAGACCAGGACGGCTCCTTCCGACTACGTCGAGGCACACGAGGTACTGCTAGCGGCGTGGTTACAGTCGATAATAGCAGCACCATCAGCAGCTCTAGTGGCAATTATGGCGACGCCATGAGTCTTAATAACACTGTGAATACCACACCACAACAGCCTCTTATCTCGACGCCGCGTGCCACGCAGAAGAATTTTGTACGAGTTATTGATAAAGACATGACACAGCAATTTCACGGCCGATCTAAGTCCGCCGGTCAGTGGCGAATTCGCTGGTTTGAAAATCGTAAATCGCAACTTCTTGGGTTTTGCTTAACTATGGCTTTCCTTGGCGTGTCTGTCGCTATGTACAAGTATCGTTGGACAGGGTTAATTGCAGGCTCAGTAAACACGATCATTTGTGGCTCTGCCGTCGTGACGACTTATTGTCGTAAGAAACAATGGCATCAACATCCGAATCCAATTGTACATAATCGCTCTATATTGAGTATTTTCATGGCAATTTGCTTGCTTCTGAACGTGCTAGTTGATTTTGACCCAAGTGGAAGTAATACAAATTGCAAACGACTAGCAGGAATTACGGAATTTTTCTTTTTCACTGGCGAAGCATGGGGTCTTGTCATGGCTTGCGATCTTTTCTTCTCGCTTACAAGTCCTTTTACGAGCTATAAAAGATTGATGAAGTTCTATCATCTGTGGGTGTGGCTGGGTGGTCTCATAATGGGAATCATTACGTATTCAGTTCAGGGTGCTGGTGGATTTTTTACCGTCGATGGCCAATCGATGACGTACGAATCCGATACAGACACGGTCATTGGATTTTGTCTCGCGTCTTCACGAATCTGTTGCGACGCTAAAGAAACGTGTCCTGATGACGTGCAGAAATGCTCGACTACTGCAAGTTTTTTGAATGCGCAGAAATGGCCATGGATTTTGATATACGCCTTTGTGCTACTGGTGCTGTTCGTGTCGGTATGGTACGTTTTTGATTGCGTTGTTGAGCTAATCATGTTGAAGTCTGTTATTCACTGGTTGATTTTGACTGCAATGCAGTGTTTTGACACTAGCGTGGCACCGTCTTTATCTGCGTGGCGTCCCGAAGACATACAATATTCGTCTTCGAGTTCTTAATTACATCTCCTTGTACGTCCAACAAATTTATTGCGAGCGAAATTGATGGCTTTACACGCTTTATTGTTTGTAATGACACTAGCTTTACAGGTGCCTACGTCTTTTATTGGCTTCTGTTGCTGTTGCTGTACATGTGTGCATACTTTTTATCGACCAAGAGCAACGCGTCGAACTCGAGGGATGTTGCTCAAGTGCTGCGTCAGCTGGTCATTTTTTTGATCTCATCAAAAGGTTACTTGGATTATGTCATTTGGTTTGCAGTAAACAACATTGAGCGAAAAGGTGGAAATGGACGCCAAGAATCCGCAGATGTCGATGTTGACTTGAGTCCGCAGGTGAACACAGCTTTGCGATCGGAAATTTTGTACTACACTACATCCGGTATCAAGGAATCTGTTCGGGCGGTGACCGACGAACTCATTTCGATTCCAATTTCTGGGGAAGGTGAAGCGGGCAAGTCAATCAAGCTTTGGTCTTTTTGCCCCGCATCATTTCGCCATATTCGTCTGACGTTTGGAATCAATGACACCGATTATGTCCAAATGTTTGGCGCTACCACGAAGGAACGATTTAGTGAAGGTCGAAGTGGTGCGTTTATGTTTTATACGTCAGATGAAAGTCTGATTGTTAAGACTATGTCTCCGGAAGAGTGTGCGTTTTTACGCAAAATTGCCAGAAACTATGAGGCCTACATGACGAGCAATCCCGACACTCTTTTGACGCGGTTTTACGGCTGCCACTCCGTTTCTCTGTATGGCAAGATGTATTATTTTGTCGTTATGGGTAATTTATTTGCAGACACGGACGTTGTGCACCATCGTTACGATATCAAAGGCTCGTGGGTGGATCGCAATGCAAAGGTACCAAGCCCAGGAGACAAGACCGCATGTCGCTACTGTAATGCATCGTACACGTTTGGCAGCACAAAAAATCAGGAATGCGGCGACGGTATGAATTTCCACGAGCCCGATATCGTTTTAAAGGATAACGACTTGATGACGAAAATTCGGATAGCCCCGGGCACTGCACATCGCATCTACGACCAAATACACAAGGACAGTGATTTTTTGTGCTCGCAAGGCATTATGGATTACAGTTTACTCATGGGCATTCAAAGCTCCGAGTATTTTGTGGACACGAGCCAACTACCACAAGGTCGTCGCGATTTGCTCTTCACGCAACCTGCGACGAGTGTAGCGGGTCCGTCGCTCTACCATTTTGGTATTATAGACTTTTTACAGCAGTGGTACGTTGGTGCTCGCTCTCGTTTTGTTTGTGTCATTATGTTATCAAATTTCTAAATGTTTTTGAATAGGACGCTGGAAAAAAAGATGGAACGCTTTTACAAGACCTTTTTCAAGCGCAAAGATCCCGAAGGTGTTTCTGCACTGCCTCCAAAGCCGTACAAGTTTCGCTTTCAGCAGAAAATGTCGCGCATTTTTGCGCTGTCGACGCACACGCGCGCCGAAAATGATACTGCATTTAAGCACAATTACCCAGCATTGATCGATGTGCTGGATCAAGGCAATTTTGATACCCAACGGCACAATACTTTCCCTAGTAACTCAATGGTGGACCAGAGACCAGTGTTTAATCCGGACTTGCATCAGGACATTCGCGCGGTGTAGTTATATCATAAGTACTGAGTTAAGCTAGATACGAGGCACAACTGAAATGTAGTGGGTATACGTAAAAAATTGGCGACATGCTTTTAATCCAATCAAAGTGGTACACATGAGTCTAGCCACCTCGTAACACAAGCAGATATGGTGAAGGTAAGGAAGAGTCAACGAACTCTTTTTGAAAAGTTAAAAGCGTGTACAACGAAGACAAAGTCACCGGCTACCGGCTAATATCTTAAACGAAATATAGGCGGCATCTCCGAGCGTAAAAGCAATCTTTATTCTGGACAGTGATGGTAATCGCGTATGTGCCAAATATTACGATAAGTCGTACCCGACGCAAAAGGAGCAGCTACAGCTGGAGAAAAAGTTGTACACTAAGACCAAGAATTCTAGCTCTCGTTCAGAAGGTGCAATAAATTGAAGCCACTTACAAAAAGGATCAAATCTAAGTATTATCGTTTACTACTAGCCGACATCATTCTTGTTGAGAATATCGTGAGTGTATACCGCTGTGGATCAGACACGACAATGCATGTAATTGGCTCGGCTCTGGAAGTAAGTGCTGTATTGACAATCGATTAAAGATATGGACTGACAAAGTGGTGCTGACAATGTCGTCACATTGTAGAATGAGCTCATCTTGTTGACAGTCTTGAACTCGGCTTTTGACACTGTCAGCAATCTTCTAAAGTACGTCATTGGTGATAATGCTAGCTGGCCTAGTGTTTGGTGAGCAAGTAAAATTATGGGACTTACGTGAGTGGCATTGGATGCAAACTTTAGAGGACGAATGGACCGACATGTGATGCTGGACAATATTGAGCTTGTGCTGCTTACATTTGATGAAGTTGTCGACGGCGGGTAAGAAAAACCGAATGCAAAGTACTTATTATCAATGCTAATACTTTTTGATCTTTTAGAATTATCTTGGAGGTTGACACACCATCAATCTCAAACCGTGTGCTTATGCGCGTAAGTTTTGGCTTCTGTCAAAGTATTCAGGCGGCCACTTTAAAATTTTTATGATTTGACGAATCTATTGCATTGTCTACTTCAGGGTATTGACAACGAAGTTCCGATGGCAGAACTCACCATTTCACAGGTCAGTACGCAGTCGTTTTTCTGTAAACGCTTTGTGCTCTATTCAAAATCAAGGATCCTTAAATCATGACATGATAATCTACTTTGCAGGCGTTTGCTTCAGCTCGCGAGCAATTTTCGCGCTCTTTTCGCAGCTAGACGACATTGTTTGTGCCACTTTCAAAAGTCTTGCTTGAGAATTCTGGCTCCTCTGCTTCATTATAGTGTCTCTTATCCGAGGTAGATTTTAAAAGTGTGAAACAAGTTTTTATCAGCATTCATTCTTTGAGATTTTACCATCACTATGTTTTTTATATACGTAATTTCTACTCAATTTTCATTGGCTCTAGCATGTCACTTTCTTTGTCTGATGGAAAAGATGGAATTGGCGGAGCCCTGGGGGCGATTCACGCTCGTCTCCAAGGATGTAGCCGATGATAATGATCACATTTACTTTCGGAATGAAGTAACGACGATCGGTCGGAACAAGCGTCGCTGCGATTTTGTAATTGAAAAACTTTTCATTAGTAGTGTGGTAAGATAAAGCTCATGCTTCTTATATGTTTCTTCATGCGCGAAATAGTGCTTACAATAGCCCAAAATTATTCAATTTGTTCATTGGATATCTCAGCATTGCGTGGTAAAATTAGATGGCACAGGTGTCAACGGAAAACGAATTGTTATAATCGAGGACAACAGGTTCAACTTGTACTAAAACTCGTTACTTTGAGAAAGACTAACACTTAAAGTGCTGCACAACAGTCGCAACGGTATTTGGGTTAATGCAGACCGCGTTGGCAAAGGAGCTTCAGTGACGTTGGATAGCGGGTATACGATTCATTTCACTAAGCCTGGCTCGACACCGGCAGGTAAAATAATGCTAATAGTGGACTGACTCCTTGCTTCGATATCATGATACTTGATGCTTGATATTGTTCTAGGAGTGACTCCGATGGCGTATAAGTTTGAGTTTTTGAAGTAAGTAGAACAATTGTGTATTCTAATGTTTCAATGTTTGCACTTACAGTTATTGTATAATAACATTCTTCATAACAGCTTTCATGATTCTCGCCTTCCACGAAGAAAAGAAATTGGAGTACGAGAAGACATGATTGACATGACCACTGCCGCAGAGGAAGTTTTTGAGGCCACTCAGCTGACAACTCCGTTAGATCTGCCATCGTCGTTAGGAAAGAAGCGAAAGCGTGAAGAGGAAATCTCTGTACATGCAAATGTTGCCATGCAAAAGCTAGACTCCAAATCAAAGGAAAAGGATACTCAAACTAGGACAATACAAACCGAGCTTGAAACTGCGATAAACCACACAGCTACGATTGGACAGGAGCGGGAGCAAAGCATGCAAGCTAAAGTGGACAAAATCGTGCAAGAGAATCTGGATTTGATGTCCAGACTGGAGGCAGCCACGACCGCGAACTTACAGTTGAAGACAGAATTGACTGCTAAAGACAACAACATAGCAATTAGGATCAAGGAGGCGGTAGAGAAAAGTATGAAAGATCTTCAAGGCGAAAACCAAGGTTTAAGAGAGGAGATAGTCGTGATAAATGAAGCAATAGAGGCAAGAATAATTGAGGCCGTCAACAAGAGAGTCGCAGCAGACGAGGAAATCAAAGCTAACGACTTTGACATTAAGCTGGCAGAAGCCATCATGAAGTATAAAAAAAAGGTTGAAGCAGAAAATTTTGAACAGCAGCGAGAAGTGAGTGATAAGATGTTGGCTTACGTTAATGAAAATGAAAAGCTGCTAGCTATGCTCCGCTCAAAGAACGAAAAATTGATTGAATACAAGGATCAGATATCACGATTAAAGGAGAAAGTCAACCAACTGGAAAAAATGAACGACAATAACAGAACGGGGAAACATGAAGAGAAAAATGGTAATACTTTCTCTTTTAAAAACGAGATTAATGGCGGCGCTATTCATACTAAAACCGATGCGACAAGGGATGGAAATTTGGAGATTGTTGGGCTTGAGACTTCTGCTGAACATATAGTGATTGCTCCCGAAAGCAAGACTTCTGAATCTATGATCGCCACAGGTGCTGGCAAGCCCACCTGCGGTGCTAGTTATAACGAGCGACATGGAGCGCAAACTGCTCTTGTACCCTTATGTAAAGAGGATGAAACAAATTGCATTAACTACAAAGAAGAGGTACGATGACTTTTTAATAACTTCTAAAGCTTGCAAAAAATGAGATTTTTTGCGAATGACTTCGCCAGCTTAAGGAGCAGCAAAATTATCAAAATACTGTCTCAGCAACGAAGTCCACAACGGAGTCCTTAACAAGCGTTGCCAAAGAAAGGTACGCTGTGATCGCTGTAATTTATTGAAATAGCGCTAACGAATGATAATTGTCGACACTGGAGCAGTATTACGTCAGGCGACGACAAAGAATTGCTACATGGTCGATTAGCCATTGCACTTAGCTTGTTTAGCCAAGTGCAAGTCCTTGGTCTGCAAGGTCTGAAGTTGTTCACTGATACTAAGTCTTTTGAGCTGAAAGACCTTCACCAATTGCCAGCTGCATCTGTTGCTAGCACGACCTCGATTTCGCTGTCGTCTACGTTTGACAAAGAAGCACAGCAGCAAACTGGAGATGCTGTGAACGATTCATCGGTGAATAAGCTCGAGAAGGCTTTAGCAAAGAATACTGCGACCGAGACAGACGATATCCATGACGAAACCGATGAAGCTGCAGCAGAGACCAAGGCTTCGCCGTCCAAGTTAAAGTGCGCTGAGAATACTGCAACTCAACAAATAGTTTCTCTTTTAGCAAAAGAAAGGGCAAGCGTTTGCATCGATAATCACAGCGATGGCATCGGCCAGCAATAGTACGAAGAGCTGATCGATGGTGCACACAATTTTTGTTAATGAAGTAATTGCTTGATGCTTTCACGAGCCAATCAGCTTTCGCTCTCAGCTCATAGACAAAACAAATGATCAAATCTATTGATGTGAATAATGAAACTACACAATTCTACTTTGTTGTCATGTTACGCTCCGTCATCCGTCTGCCATCTGCCGTTCTGGGCCAGCGCCGCATAGTCGCTTGTTTCTCACGTGGCTTCTCTTCGTACCCTCCCCATGATATCGTTGGTCTGCCTTGTACGTCCTGGTGCTTTGTAACGCTCGACGAGAGATTATTATGTTAATTTCCTGTTCTTCACTCGTTTAGCACTATCTCCTACCATGGAGACGGGAAACATGTCCAAATGGAACACAAAGGAGGGCGATGCCATCACTGCGGGTGATATTGTGTGCGAAATTGAGACTGACAAGGCTGTCGTCGATTACGAAGCTACAGATGACATGTTTTTGGCCAAAATACTCATCCCAGAGGGTACTGAAAATATCCCTGTAGGACAGCCAATGATGGTTGTGGTTGAAGACCAAGAATCCGTTGCTGCATTTAAGGATTTTAAACTCGATGAAGCTTCAGTGGCTCCTGCCACCCCTGTGTCCTCCAAGAAGCCGTCCAACAAGTCCAGGTCAGAGCCTGCGATGCCTCAACCATCTCAAAAAGCTTCGCCGCCCATGGAAGTCTCACCGCCTACAAAAACGATCGAACATACATCAACGGTGTTGACAAATGCTAAGGCCAGTTCTCCAGTTTCAGCTACTACCACTGTGTTTGAGGAAAAGTGGGGCTTTGGCATAAAGAAAAGCGCCATCTCCACGAGTCTTTTGAAAAAACAGCAGCTTTATATTGCTCAGTACGGCGTTACCGGTATGACGCCCGTGGCGTTGCCAATTAAAGAGTAGTTTATCACTAGCTTTTGTTTTGACATATACCTAATGCAATGGCATACTTTTTCATTGCGAACATTGTAAGGCTTTGAAAGTTAAAATGTGTTAGCAATGTTTTCTGCAGCTATAAAGTCTTACTGAGGGACTGTAATACTCATGCTGTGAACTTTTTCGAGGTGGCTGAGCACACCAAACGCGTCTACTGTGAGAAAATCGAAAAGACCCGGATGTTTTGCGTCGAGAGCCTGTTAAATATTGCTTCTCATGTCAAACATGATCAAAGTCAACTGTCGAACATCGCAAGAGACGCACCTGATACTCATTTAAATCAATCACCCCGTTACGGTCAAGGTCGGCGTCCAAAAAGGTATTGTCCACAATGTAGGCCAGTTCTTTTTCAGACAACGAAATTTCCAGCTCTGCACTCTCCCAAACAAAAAAGTTCGTTTACAAAGATTCCACCGGTCGGATAAAGCAAGAAACGCACCATTGCACTCTGCAAGACAAGAGCGCAGTAATTCCGTCGTCATCTTTTTAGTGATGAAACCCGTGCCCTCGGGATCAAGTAGGTAAAAGGAAAGCATCAATTTCTGCTCTCGTGTCGCCTTCTGACTCAGCAGGGACAACCCTTTCATCAAGTCTTCAAATGTTACCTAGTGTCACGAGCAAACTTAAGTGACTTTTATAATGTGCGACAAATTGTCTCACTGCACCTTACATGTCCTTTCTTGGTCATGTCAAAGATTGCATAGAGACGGTTGACATAAAGGCTGGAGGTGCTGCCGTCTCCTCCCGCCAAAAATCGGAAAAATTCATCTTTTGGTATCACAACAGCATCATTCTCGTGCTGGTCTAGTACCGCCGCCAAATGCTTGCGGATAATCAGCAGCTCGGGCTGCGAGAAAACTGCAGATACTTCCACCTCGGCCAACTTCGTCTCCAGCAGTGATTGTGCAGGAAGTGGGGGCGGTACCGACCTCGAGTGTGAAGAATTTGATGAGACAGCTGCAGGGGGGTCAAAGTTTGATGACGCACTCGGCGGGTTACTACGCGAGGTGCTTGAAGAAGAAGGAGGCGTCTGCTTAGCTTGCTTACTGCCCATGATAAATCAAAAGTATCATTGTTTACAAAAGTTAATGTGTGGCACATAACTAGAGCTCACATCAACACGCATAATGAATGCCGCAATAATCTCAGTACCCAACGAGGTCGCTGAGGCCATTACAATGGTGCAGTCAGATTCTCCACATGTGACAATTGAGGGCCTATCAAAGCTCTCGCACGCCACATTTAATAACCGTAACCTGTTGATCGGCTGAATGTAGTCAAAGTGTTTTACTCACTCAGAGTTGTTTTGGACTATACAGCGATGACGAAAGAAATCGCAGGCGCAGCTGGAGCCATTAAGGCTATAGCACATGCCATGGAGCGAAATGTTTTCGACGGGAATTTGCAGAAGGACGCCTGCCACGCTTTGCGCAATATCACATTTCATTGTCGTAAGTATGGTAGGTTGTTTTAGCGGTTAAGCGGCAAAGAGCTGAATAGTCATGCTTTATATTTTGTTCAACCTTATTCAGAGCCTAATCTGGTTTTGGCTCGAGAGCAAGGTGCGCTCAGTGCTGTGTTTAAGGCAATGGAGAGTCATCCGCAAA